CATGCCTGTAAATGTGATTTGGAACACACAAAAAAGATTCATTTGTTTATTTGGTCATTTGGCTAAAAATGTTGAAAGGCAGATTGACAGTCTTTTTGGACATAAACAGCCCAAATCCAACAGTTTTCTTGTACTTCTTCCTCCCTGAAGTCCACGTATGACATTTGTGTGGGTTCATCTGCCAAAATTAATTTGTTAATATATGAAAATTTTCCAGCCTTTTCCAAATTCTTCTGTGTGTGTGTGTGTATGTGTGTATGTGTGTAATGCTTCTTCAGATTGATGGAGAATGTGCTGTAGATGGCTCTATATCTATATTATATTATTATATTATATTATTTTGAATCTTTTTCAAAAACGTTCTGTATAGCACCAATATATAGCACCAATGTCCAGCCATTTTACATCAATCTGAAGAACGCTTTATACGAAAGGGTCATTATATTCCGACAGCAGCGATATATATGCATATGTGGGCATATGTATGTATGTGTGTGTGTGTGTGTGTGTGTGTGTGTGTGTGTGTGCATACATATGTGTGTATACATATGTGTGTGTGTGTGTATATATATATATATATATATATATATATATATATATATATATATATATATATATATATATATATATATATATATATAGATATAGATCTATGTATATAGATATGTAAATGTGTTGGGTTTTTGCGACATCACAGAAACAATTAATGTAAAACGTGCTGTTTTTGCAGCTTCGTTTCTGTATATGAACTGTAAGGACTGGGTCATAAATGGTACATTTTGGAGAATTTTTCCATGATATTAACCCTTTAACAAACACTGGTAGTATGACCCACCTTCCAAAGAGATGTGGGTTTGGCGCAAACAGCATCTCTTCAGTGGAAGACCCCTTAATGAGGTCATTTTGGGATAGTGTGGGTTGTAGTTCTAAATGTCACTGAACTGTAACTCAATGGCAGAACGTGTGGATTCGTAGAAATGAGGGACCAGTCAGATTTTGCCAAGCTTATTTGGTTATGAAACATTACTGACTAATTGTTGATGAATGTTGACATCCTCCAACGCAGTGTGTGTTCCACTTGGACCATGTGAGTCTTATTTCTAGCAGTCTGTCAAACTAATGGAACAAGTCTTGAATTGTAGTATAACAAGGCAAAAAGTGTATGTAATATTCTCAGCACGCTCATTATTTCATATGCTTTATGACCTTTTTTGGTTGGTCTATGTTGTAGGTTGCCAGTTTTTCTTCACAGCCTACTGGTTTTGCAGGTTTTACCTCTTGGCTCTCATGCAATCATGAAAACATGCCCACATAAGATGTATAGGGTTATAGATTTTAACCTGGAAAACTATACACACTTAAAGATGGTTCTTCAAGGGTTCTTTAGTAAGGAAAATGGTTCTATATAGAACTTTGAACACTCAAAGAACCCTTTGTATGATTAAATGGTTCTTTTCATCATGAAATTGTTCATCAGATTGATGAAGAATGTGTTTTATATGATTTTTATATAGAACCTTTTTGAAATGTGTTCTATATAGCACCAAAGAGGGTTCTTCAAGGGTTCTTTAGTAAGGAAAATGGTTCTATATAGAACTTTGAACACTCAAAGAACCCTTTGTATGATTAAATGGTTCTTTTCATCATGAAATTGTTCATCAGATTGATGAAGAATGTGTTTTATAAGATTTTTATATAGAACCTTTTTGAAATGGGTTCTATATAGCACCAAAAAGGGTTCTTCTGTTGTTACACACATGACATTAGACCATCTACAGCACATTCTCCATTAATTGCAAGAATGATTTATTGATGCAAAGTACCCTTTAATCATGCAAAGGGTTCTTTGAGTGTTCATGGTTCTATACAGAACAATTTACTTTACTGAAAAATTCATGAAGAACCATCATTTTTAAGAGTGTCCACTTCAAAAGACTATTCAAAGACACTTGAATTTATTTCAGGTATGAGATACAAGAGATTCAGACACTGACATGCGCCACATTCACACGTAGCATGTATACAGATCTCTTTTTCCAGAATCACCGGTTACACCACATTGTCAAGTACCTCAGTAATCTTGCTGGAAAGACTTATTTTACTCTCTTTGTTTCCTCAGTTTGATATACTTCCTTGTTCTCTGTAAAAGACGTAATGAGTGGGGAAAATGCTTTAATTCAGCTTTTATATAGTGTGTTTTAACAGAATTGTCTCATCTGTGAGGAAAGGCTTGTGTGCTGGGCGTTGATTCTGATTTTGTAGTGCTGTGTATAGTTCAAAAATGGCTGCTGTGGACCACAGTGTGGTGAGAATGTAGCGTCACATAGCAAAGAAAACACAAACATGTTTATGCTAAGTTTTGTACTTTACTGATTTGAATTTAATGAACTAAAGCTTTCAACATCATTTATCACGCTTGGAATCACTTTAATATCACAAACTCCCTGTTTTCAAGCTGAAACATACCAGGTGAAAAAGCCTAAGCTAGTAACGTTAGCGGAGGTAACAGACCATTAGCATCTGTCTGTTTATCTAAAAGACTGACTGCCTTTCTCTGTGTAAATTTCAAGCTACACGGAATCTACTGTGCCTCTGCGGTCTCGATTATGACTTTAATTTCATGAAGTTATGGTTAAATGCTGAGTGTTAAATGTTTCCACTGAGAACTGTGCTTGGAGAAAGTAGCACAGTGCCCCCATGTCTCAAGCGCAGTGTCGGCACCCGTGCTCAAATTTTTAACACTATGCTAATACGGTGGATGTATGGTATACTGTATATGTTCGAACCAGAATCTGTCAGAGATGTCTAAGCAGCTTATCTCAGACCTCTCCTACATATCAGTTTAGTATCACTAAATTAACTACCCAAAATGTGTATTAGTGTTATCTGTAATATTAATAATAAGAAAATAGAAAATGTATTTATTTCTATACGAAATTAAAATAACAAGAATTCTAATCATTTGTGCCTTTAGCAAAACACAGCTAGTGCAGAAGCATCTTGTACACTGCAATAATACAGCATTTAAATATGTTATTTTAGGAAAATAATCACACTACACAATCTGTCATAAGGTGTTTTGTTAATGTCACATTTATTCACATTTCACATTTATAGTCATTGTAATTTTAACACTAAAAATATGGCCATAGGGGGAGCAATGCTGTCATTTTGTTGGCTCCATACTAAAACATCTGCATGAATTAGGGTGTGCCTCATGCTAATGCTATGTAAATGAGGTATTAGTAGGCTGGTGCTTGATTTCACACACTGAAACTGACTCATCATTTGCGCTCAAGTCTTTGCTTGTTTCCATTTCATATGAAAGTTCCATGAATCAGATGCAGAATAGTTCATACGTCATCAAAAGTGTTATTTTATGAAAGTTTGATTTTATAAGGTCCAGTGCATTTCTAGAAGTAAAGAAAATTTGTAAGATACACAAATGCAGTAAATACTATTCAGTAAATATTATGCATCCCTAAAAGCCCCCTGTGTTATGAATGAGTGGTTCTCTGACTAAAGAAAAGAGATAAGGGCCTTTGCTGACGAGGGAAAATCATTCTCACAGGTTAATAGGTGCATGAGCGAGAGCACATGTACACCAAGTATAGCAAAAACAAGTACAAAAGTCTGGCACCAATGGCTCTGGTAGCTGTGCCCCAGTGCTTCGCCAAACAGCTAAACTACCAGCTCGCTTTGCTTCCTCATAAATATTACCTGATTATTATCTTACTGTACTGCAAAACATCTGTACTTGAAGCATTAGCTTCTCGGTTGAAGGCTGCCTGCTGAGATAATATAGGGCACATTTGTATTATTCTGCCTATAAATTAGGCTTTGAGGAAGAATTAAACATTTAAACAAACTTCTTTTTTTCTAAATGAATTCAACAAGTAATCTTTGATTTTGGCAGCTCTACCTAGTGCTATGGAAGGCTTGTAGCTGAGCTGGGATTCAAACCTCAATATCTGACTGTTTTTTGCAACATATTTCTTTAGAAGTCAACAACTACTGTTGAAGTTCTAAGTTGAAAATCCACTTTTTGACCGAGATTCTTTCCAAATTATTAGTGACATCATATTACCTTCAATAAATGTGACATGTAAGGGTTAAACACGAATGCTGAGTACACAGTGTGTCATTTGAGTTTAACCAGATCGTTTGTAAGATGCCGGGAATGTTTGACTTGCTCTCGTACGATAATCAGAAGGAACTCCAGTAATGTCTTCCTCATTTCTGGGTTGTAGTTGGGAATCATATATCCATATGTCAGCGCTTTTGGGGTGGTATCAGGATGTTACGGCATGTCTCAAGGACACTTTCCATTCATCAAAACAGCCTAGCAGAGACTATATTTATTTATCTATATCTCCAACCGACCGCGAGTTGGTCTTATGTGGCCTTGTGGTGAGGATGTCTGGGGTGTGGGAATGTGCACGAGTATGTGTTTATGAAACAGCTGACTCTACATATGACTTCCATGTTGAGATGTATGTCTCACACACACACTTTTATATTGAGTCTTGCTGCTTTAGTTCCATGGCAGCTCTTGCGACACTGTATATGCTCTACGTGACCTTCACTGATTGTATCTTCAGATTAAAGTGTGATGCAGTGCCAGTCAGTCTGTTTGTAGAAAACAAATCTCGAAAACATGTTTATGCAACACTAGAGGAATGAATTTGAATGGACGGTCACTTTTGTTGCATCGCAAGCTCTGGAACCACACCACCTGATTCATAGCGTCAGTTACTATTCTCTGAAATTCAAGCGTGTTATTATAAAGAATTTCATAAAGTTTGTTTCAGACTGTACTATGATGCTAAATTACCTCTTATCAGAATTTTAGTGTTATCTTGTACATATGAACCACAAATGTTCTTATCAGCTTATCTGTTTTGATGTTTTCAGAGTTTGTACGCTGCCAAAAATACATAACTAGCTTGAATAATATTCACATAAACGAGAGTCAAACTGAGTGTCTCTTTGCCTCACAGCCTCCCTGCCTTTTGTGATTATGAACATCATTTACCAGCCGTACCAGCGCGGCATCCACTGTGACGATGAGAGCATTATGTACCCGCTGAAGTTAGACACCATCACACATGGACTGATGGCTGCTGTTGCCATTTCCTGCACTGTTGTCATTGTGAGTTCCTCCCTCCATCCCTCCTCTTCTTCTACCCATTGTTCAGTGTCCTTTCTTCAGAGAGTGTTAACCATTTATTTTAACAGTTAAGTTTGTGATTCTAATGATCTGTCCATGCTCTACCCATGAATACATTCTTTCTCAGCTGTTGAGGCCTGTGTGAACAAACTTTACAGAATGCTGGCAAAAATGCATCAACCCAGTGAGGAAATTGTAGCGATCTTTGTTTAGACCGGGGGTCGGCTACATGCGGCTCTTTTACTGCCCTGTTGCAGCTCCACAGCAGAAATAATCCTCCTTTGCGGTAAAATAAATCTCTGCTGATCATTCTAACACAGTTTTAACACTAAATGGTCTTAAATGCTGGAGTTAATGTAGCCTACAACTGCTTACTCGCCAGAATTTAACCATGAAGGTTGGTGCGCAGACTGTGGGTCACTATAGCAACACAGACAACAGTCTCACATAGCTAGTAGCTATTGAAATAGCAGAGGGAAAGACTAACATCGATAATTAGGAGATGAATGGACTTATTTGCATTTATAAGCACTTCAGCTGGTTTCCTGATGCATTTAATCTGCAATGAAAAACTGTCAAAGAGTCACAAAGCTGAAAACATATTCACGTTCACTGGCTTCTTGTTCAAATTTTCCTCTTTCACTAAACGATGCAGCAGTTACAACATGGCACTTCAGGCAGCATTTAAGATGGATCGGGAAAATTCAAAGAAGAAGCTGGCGAATGAGAAGTAGACATCAGCCTTGTAAAAAATCAAACATTTATGAGACATTTTATGAGAAACTCTTCTACTTTTGTGGAAAAGTTTCCTGCCAGAGATGCGAGAAAAGCGGCTATAGCTGAGCTGAAGCTTAAAGCAGAGCAAAGCAAGTCTGCGTTTTTGTTTATATAAAATTTGTTAGCCTACATCAGCACATACTGAGACATATTTACAGCCAAGATGGTAAAATGGACATAAAAATAGGTGGCTCGTTTTTGTTCTACAGGACAAAATGCCTCTTCTTAACATTTGGGTTACCGACCCCTGGGTTACACTCCTTTTATTTGGGCAGATAGCTATAGCTAATCTAAGAAGTTTGGAAACAACAGTTAACTAATATTAGCTTACAGTATATTATATTATAATGTTAGCTTACAGTATGTTACAGTGTATTATATTACAGTAAAATATACATAAGCTTAAAAAAATTATTATAAAATTTATTATAAAATCATATTCTGTTGTTGAGGCTTCTTTGTAATTTTATATTAAATATGTTTTCTATGTTTTACCTGTATTAATTACTTAATTACCTAATGGCTGTTTTAACTGGAAATGACATAAATGAAGGGTGTTCTGACTTTCGTATCAAACCACATACCTGATCGATCCTAAATAAGTATGATTAGAAAATATTTAAGAATATTTTAGAATTGTTATTGAGGAAAAAAATATAATTGTGTTTTAGTTGAATTGAGTTGAACGGGATGTTTGTGAACATCCTCTAAAGCTTGTCCAACCTCGCAACAAAGGTATGAAAGAACCCATTTGTGGGACAAGATATCAAGTTTACAAGTATAATGTACATATCTGATTATTAGTGATACATAGAGATCTCAGGTTTAGGATTTATTTCTGTAGTAACTTGTAGTCTGACAGATAATGAAGATGAAACGTGTAATTTTATCCACTTTTTTTTTCTTATTCACTCTCTGTCACTCAGTTGTCATCGGGTGAGGCCTATCTGGTCTACAGTAAGAAACTCCAGTCTAACTCTGGGTTTAACCAGTACGTGGCTGCACTCTATAAGGCGGTGGGCACCTTCCTGTTTGGAGCAGCTGTGAGCCAGTCACTCACAGACCTGGCCAAGTTTACCATCGGACGTCCGCGCCCCAACTTCTTAACAGTCTGCGCCCCCAAAATCTGCAAAGGCTACATGTCACATATCAACTGCACTGGCAACCCAGCTGATGTCACAGAGTCCAGGTAATGTATGGGGTATTTTGGTAGATGTGTGGTCAGGAAGATTATTTTGCATTTGCATTGTATTGGTAAAAACTAAATTTGGTCTTAAAATTCTAGGCTGTCCTTCTACTCGGGGCATTCGTCCTTTGGGATGTACTGCATGCTGTTCCTGGCGGTGAGTCCATTCACTTTGTGTACCTAACAGACTGCAGGTTTCAAGGCCATCAGAGCTCCCTCAGTGACCTTTGGGCACACTGTGTTACTGTTTTCTGGAGTTAACAATACTGTAGGATCCAAAAGTAGATGATGAATGTTGTTAAAAATTGAAGGGTTTCATTCCAAAACGCATTATAGACCACTTTAAAATTTTTCCTTTTTCCTTTTCTCCATGATGTACGTGTGGGGCTGGACTTTACACATACAAGAATATCAAATGCTATATAATGATTAATACCACCTTTATAAGAGAAATGTGTTTTCCATTATATGTCAACTGTTAATCTTTTGAAAAACTAATTGTATCCAAAACTGTTACAACAACATTTTGGAATAAAAAAACTTTTTTCCGACTGACATCTTGACTTCAATATTGATTCTTGAATGATATCTTCTCTAAATAACAAAACAATATTGAGTTTAAGAGCATATATTGCTTTAAAATAAAAAAAATGTTTTTTTTAAATGCAACAATATATAAATATAAAAAATCTAGTTTAATAAAAAGAAGGTTACATGATTCATGTCTGTTAAAACTAAATTTGTTGGCTAACTGACTTTTTATATTGAATGACAATGAATTTTTTCCAATACACTGTGGTACCGTTTTATGTTACTTAGTACCATAAAAGCATTTACATAAAAGCATACTAATACAGGGTGATTTCAAAAAGATTCATCTGATTTCAAAATTATTTATTTCACTTATAAATCATTACAGAACAACGCAGTAAATTGTAAATAGTTTAAGTGAGCATAATATTTAATATGTAATTTTACAAGTGCTTAATATGAACCTCCCCCAGCTGTACAGACAACATCAACGCCATAATCAAATTCATCTCATATTTGATTGAGCATGTCGGGTGTCACTGTACTCACGGCTCTTTCAGTGCGATTTCGGAGATCATCCAGTGTTGTGGAACCAAAGATGAACGCTTTGAGCTGTTGGAGGTTCACTGCCCACGAAAATCATGTTGCACAGTTATGACGGATTCACTCTTATTGAAGTGGAGAATGCAAAACGCTTTCTGCTCAGGGGTCGCATCTCCTCACAGAAAGGGAGCCATCTTCCAGTGACGGTCAGAAACTCTGTGACCCCCTCTTTCAACTGGTATGTGATTGGTTCCTAGGCACCTCATGATTGTAAAATATGGCGCTTTGAAATCGGATGAATCTTTGTGAATCACCCTGTAAAATTTTTGTCTAAATATTTCTTATTTCCTTTCTTTAACTATATTTTCTAGTATTTACTGAAAATCAAATATCTCATTATTTCTAACCATTTGCTTCAATAGTCATCTTGCAGATCTGGTGAATCCTCATTACTGCAGCAGCCTAGAGAGAGAGTCTTAATGTATTCTTGAATAATAAATATCAGTTTTTGAAATATGCTTCATATTAGTTTCTGGTAAATGATGGCATAAAAACAACACTTGACAGACTTTTGGACCTTACTGTATGTTGGGGTGCATCCAGTTTTTACTCATTTTAATTTAAAATTCTGATTTACTGTCAGTCCAGGTCTGAAGGCCTGGAGATATGTAGGCCTCTTTGTGAAGCCACTGAAAAAAAATTAACGCCTATGCATTTCGTTATGGATAAAACAGTGATTTTATATTGATTTTAAAAAAGGATTTTAAAGGATTCTTGAATAAATATTTGACAGAGAGCTCTGTTCATGCACAAGTAAGGGCAGAACTACACTGAAAAGTGCCCCCGAGTTCATAAAACCTTTTTCTGTTTCTCGAGATGCAAGTAAATCCAGGGCTTTTTACCCTCTTCTGTCTCACCCATTGATTCTCTTTTTTGTGTCACTAATTTAATTCATATTTAATTGCCAGTTAAAACATTCCATTGGTCCTCCTGCTAACAGTATCATTAGCTCTCTAATGTCCTCTAATGTAAATGTGATTTTAAATGACAGAGTATTCTTCTACATTTCGCTCTGTGTGTGTGTGTGTGTGTGTGTGTGTGTGTGTGTGTGTGTGTGTGTGTGTGTCTGTGTGTGTCTGTGTGTGTCTGTCTGCCAGAAGAGGCCTTGGAGTACTCTAATGCCAGCCATTACGATACATTCCAGTTCTAATTGTTCTCCTTTTTAAGACTTTTTTTGTCCAAAGTAAACTATATTTGGCTCTTAGATGTGCTGGATACCGTTCCTAATGTTCCTACTTTAATTCAGCCGAAGTAAAAAGGAATGAATGACTTACATGGGAATGGAATGGTGTAGAGATTTCCAAGATAAAACTGGTTGCACTTCCAAAGCATTCTAAACTTTACTCAGTTGAGCAGAGAAACCTCTACATCCTAATCTAGATAACATCCAGGAACTAAAACATTAAAACAAGGTAGAAATGTCTGCATGACCAGCTAATTTCTCCTGTTCCTCTCTCTCCACAGCTGTACGTGCAGGCTAGGCTGAGGGCCAAATGGGCCAGACTCCTGCGGCCCACCATCCAGTTCTTTCTGGTGGCCTTTGCTGTGTATGTGGGCTACACCAGAGTGTCAGATTACAAGCATCACTGGAGCGATGTTCTCGTTGGGCTCCTCCAAGGGGCGCTAGTTGCTATACTCGTTGTGAGTATTCTGACTGTTGATTTGAAAATATTCAAAATGGAGCACAACTGCAGCTTTCGTTAGAGCAAAAATCGTGTACAACTACTGCAACAAAGAATAGCATTTAAACACAGTAAACACACTTTATTAATGTTCACTTGCTTTCTCACCTACAACTATGAAAACTGTGTAAATCCTACACATTTCCATCGAAACATTCCGTTGATGTTACCCATTTCCTTTAGGGTAGTGCTAGATCAGTGCAAACGAGCAGTTACTAACTGGGATTTCTTTGTTTTAATCAGTTGAACTAAATCATTCTGGTGTTGAAAATGGAGACCTGTGTTCTGCTTTGGTTAAACAAAAGGCTTAGATTCCTTATGTCTGTAGGTAATTAGGGCTCTGTTTCAACCAAAATCCAAAGTTTTTCCCAAATATAATCACAGTTCATCACAAATAAAGTCAACCCATAAGTAATGAAAGGGCATGCCCACCAGTTAGCACTGTGTAAAGCGCCTAAATCTTCACACACTTGCCTCAAACCATTTTGTTGTTAAGAAGCCTCAAACAGACGCTTATGAGGTTTTGCTGTCTATAAAAATGGTCAAAAGCAGGTTGCATAGCTAAAAATGGTATAAGCAGCCATATTGCCATATGTTCACATTTTTGTTGATGTTTAAATTTGATATTTGGTTCAACCATCACTTTAAAAAGACATTTTCTTCTCTTTTTTAAATAAAAGAGTTTGATGTAGTATAAATCAAGGTTTCAAAACATACCTGTCACCCCCCAGTCTGTACAGTTCAAATAAGAAAACAGCCCATTTTGAATTCAAACCTTTTGTGATATGACAGTAAACAACCCATTTACATATACAGGCCTGTTTAGCCTACAGCAGTTTAGCCCCACCCATTCACACTGAAGTTATAAAGAGTGTTTCAGCCCAGACCGCTTTTTTGAATGAGGCAAAATACAGCACAGCCAATCATAACAGTTTTGGTACATAAAGCCAAAAACTATCAAGTAGACCTTAAGGAAACAGATAAAATACAAGAAACATATCAGATATAGGCTGTTTTAAAGTGTTGCACTTTTTTGCACTGGCTTAAAGATCCCAGGGTGTTCAGTTCTCTCTCTTTCTTTTCTCGTCCAGGTGCGATATGTGTCAGATTTCTTCAAACGACATCCTTCAACCCAGTGCTCCAGTCCAGATACAGTTGAGAGTGATATGCTGGAGAGAAAGCACAGCATTCAGGTGGGAGATTTGGAGCACAACAACCATTACAACTACCACAGGCCTGCATGAGAGACAGTTTGCCCTACCACTCAGACTACATCTCCCACAACCACTGAAGCGACTGGAGCAACTAGAGCACCACACCTGCTGCAGTGGCGCGCTGGCCTCCCTAAACACAATCTGCAATGATTCTTTCCCTCCTGTGTGTTTTTATGTGAAAGCAAACTCTCCGATGTTCAAAATGCCGTTTTTTTTTTTTCCATGTTATTATTTTAATAAAAGATGAGCCTAGGGCCCAGCCAATAAATCAGTTGACCGATATTGAGGTCCCACGAATTGTATCTGCAAAAATTCCTGCAATAAGGCACCGATATGTGTTGACTTAATTTATTTAGTGACCAACAAACACTGCAGATGTGTAGAAATACATTCTGATTATAGTTATATCTCAATATAGTTACAGTTGAAAACCACAAAAACATGTAAAATGCAGCCTAAACGTGTAGGATGAAGATAATTTGGAGTAACCCTAAAAATGTTGATGAAAATAAGAAAAATAAGAGTTAATTAATTAGTTAGAAATCAACAAAACTGCTAAGACTTCTGGCTCCACCCCGTGCTATAATTTTTTTTATTATTTAAGGCTTCTGTTGTTTGAGTGTCAGAAATTTGACAGTCATATTTGAAAACGTTTACAGTTGAAAGCTGACAGTCATATTTACTAAAGCATTGTTTAACCAGAACCAGTGGAGTCTGTTTCAGTTGATTTTATTGCTTATCCAAATTTTTAGCTCCTTTTAGTTGATATTGTGTCAGTCAAGGAATGTTCATACATGTTGGGCCCCAGATCAGCTATTTAGGGACTGAAGATAAAGTTCTCAACTACGACAGTACAGCAGCTTCAACGCCTTACCTCCTGTTGAGGGTAGCAGCAAACATTAATGACTAGTGTACAGTGACTTTTGTACAGTCATGCTAATTTCTTCCTTATTTGAGCTGGAAATTGCTTTAAGGCAAAGGCTGGAGTTCGGTTTACATCACCCTTTCATCCTCAGATTAGAGTTGGGGGAGACATATGTGGGCATATCCAGTGGAAAATGCTGTGCTGTGGTGAAAAACACATCCCCAGCTGCTCTCAATATTCCTGCAGTAATGGTTGCCATTCAGATTGCTGTCATTAAACTTTATGTTGGGAACCTTTGTTGCCTGTTGGTGGGCTATTGAGCTGGACAGTAACATATAAAATTGATGGCAAAGATTTGTTCCATGCAAGATGATACCACTACAAGCCCTTTGTGTTGCTATTCTTTCTCCTCTTTCATCATAATCTACCTTCATTTGTAATAATGCTGGTTTTGCATTTGTTTTGGACCAACTTGCTTATTGCTCATTTGAATAGCGTTATCTGGACAATGTTTGTACCAAACAAAAGCAGTGATTAGTGTGTAGATGTCTATGTTTAGCGTATCATTTAGCATATCTCTTTCTAATAATGCACCATTTAGGTAAAAGTTCTGTTCTTGATATGGCAATATGCCACACCTGTTGTCACATCGTTGGTACTTTTATTCATATTAAAGCTTAAATGAAATATTTTCCATTAACAAACTTAATATAGTCCTGATATCCATGTTCTTTATAGTTCTGTTCCTTCACTGGCTGTTTGTCTGTAAAATCATATTTGACTTTGTGTCACATTCTGTTCTGATGTGAAACGTACTTTTACGTTGAATTTGCATGCACGTTTGCTGATGGAACCAGGATTTGGTGTTCTGGATGGTGCTTTGATTCAAATTCCTGCATACCTATGTGAGCTGTATACCTTAAGTCAGATTGAACTCATGCAGCATCAAACACTATCTGCAAAGTTCGCTTGTACTCTATGAATATGAATAATGGACATATTTATGCTTGCATTCATTTACATTGCTTTGTTTCACATGTGCTCAAGTGTATTTATGTCCCAAAGATAACTGGCCAGCCATATTTCACTCAGCCTGTGCCTTCGGTTCAGCTTTGCCTAGTTTTCAGCAGTAGCCTTGCCATGTTTCCAGTAAAGTAGCCAGGCGTCGACCCAAGACTGAGACTGTATGAGAATACCTCTTTATGAGTGGTCAGATGGGATTCGACACTGGAAGCGTTCTCCATCAGCTGCAGCGAGAGAGTCCAGGAAGTCTAACCTGTGTACTGGCACGATATCGGACTTTATCCAGTCAGAAAGAACTGACATGGAAATGCATACTGTCCCTTTGAATAAGGATTTCTAAACTGACCTTGACATGCAGGCCATGCATAGAGTAAATACACAGAGAAGGTTTTGTATGGAATGGGTTGATTTACAATAAATAGTTGGTATGTATGGAATATGTTGTGTCTACTTCATCATGCAAACCTATGAAAACAAGAACAGAGCAGAGAACATATTGTTCAACAATACACAGCTTAAACACAAAACTGCAAATGAAAATATAAATTTAGTCTTGCACAGAACTACAAATATAATGCAAGTATAATCCACTCATTTATTTCAGTGATCACACTCGTAGTCCGGATTCCAAGTTGAAATACACTATTTAGACTTTTACTAAGATAGGGATCTGTGACTATTTCTGGTCACATTGAATTTCTACATTACCACGTTGGTGTCAGAAGTGGGCATGTAGCATCATTGCTTTGGAATTGGGGAAAGATGACTTCATTACTACATTTCTGACATGATACTGGCATGGTAATATGTAGAATTGAGTAGAAGTATTCATTTTCAATAACATTTCAGTAAAGTGCAAATCTTCCAAAATAAAAGCCAGTGTACCTAAATCAGTGTTTTCATTCTATATAGGTAAAACTATATCCACCGTACCTTCTATGTAGTTATAACTGAAGTTTGGGGGGAGGAACATGCCTGAAACCCCCACTTCTTCCAATCTAATGCCCTTTAAATTCACATCCTCACCTTCTGTTCCTGTGACAAGGTTCGCAATGCCCACCGCCACCCCATCTCCTTCCTTGTTCCTCAGTCATACATCAGTCCTACTTCAGCTATGAGGGCAGTCTGGCCTTCTAGCTACAGGCAGAAGCTGCCCAGAACTCCAGCCCAAGCTCTCAGAGTTCTGCCCCCTCCCTGAATCAATCTTCCCTCATACTACCACCACCATGTTGAAGGCATTGTCTGAACTCATAAATTAAGATTACACCTTAGCAACCACCTGGGATAGCCTAGCAACTGCCTAACAACACCTCAACAACCACCTGGGATACCCTAGCAACATCCTGGAATCACTATATAAACTTAATTAAGTAATCAAAAAATGATCAGCAGGTTTCTACAGGTTTCTTCTTTCACCTTTCTAGTTAAAATAAAAATAAAGGTTCCTAAATGGTTCTTGGCTTATGTGTATGGTGCTTTACTTGGTACAGAACCTTTACAGCATGTGGAGGTTCTTTAAATCTTACATACACTATATTGCTAAAAGTATTCACTCACCCATCCAAATCATTTAATTCAGGTGTTCCAATCACTTCCATGGCCACAGGTGTATAAAACCTAGGCATGCAGACTGCTTCTACAAACATTTGTGAAAGAATGGGTCACTCTCAGGAGCTCAGTGGATTCCAGTGTGGTACCGTGATAGGATGCCACCTGTGCAAAAAGTCCAGTCGTGAAATTTCCTCGCTATTAAATATTCCACAGTCAACTGTCAGTGGTATTATAACAAAGTGGAAGCGATTGGGAACGACAGCAACTCAGCCACGAAGTGGTCGGCCACGTAAAATGACAGAGCGGGTCAGCGGATGCTGAGGCACATAGTGCACAGAGGTTGCCAACTTTCTGCAGAGTCAATCGCTACAGACCTCCAAACTTCATGTGGTCTTCAGATTAGCTCAAGAACAGCGTAGAGAGCTTCATGGAATGGGTTTCCATGGCCGAGCAGCTGCATCCAAGCCTTACATCACCAAGTGCAATGCAAAGCGTCGAATGCAGTGGTGTAAAGTGCCACCACTGGACTCTAGAGCAGTGGAGATGTGTGCTCTGGAGTGACGAATCACGATTCTCCGTCTGGCAATCCGATGGACGAGTCTGGGTTTGACGGTTGCTAGGAGAACGGTACTTGTCTGACTGCATTGTGCCAAGTGTAAAGTTTGGTGGAGGGGGGATTATGGTGTGGGGTTGTTTTTCAGGAGTTGGGCTCGGCCCCTTAGTTCCAGTGAAAGGAACTCTTAATGCTTCAGCAGACCAAGAGATTTTGGACAATTTCATGCTCCCAACTCTGTGGGAACAGTTTGGGGATGACCCCTTCCTGTTCTAACATGACTGCGCACCAGTGCACAAAGCAAGGTCCATAAAGACATGGATGAGCGAGTTTGGTGTGGAAGAACTTGACTGGCCTGCACGGAGTCCTGAACTCATCCCGATAGAACACCTTTGGGATGGATTAGAGCGGAGACTGGAAGAATGGTCAAAAATTCCCATAAACACACTCGTAAACCTCGTTGAAAGCCTTCCCAGAAGAGTTGAAGCTGTTATAGCTACAAAGGGTGGGCCGACATCATATTAAACCCTATGGATTAAGAATGGGATGTCACTCAAGTTCATATGCGTGTGAGGGCAGATGAGTGAATACTTTTGACAGTATAGTGTATGTGAAGGTAAGGAGGTTTTACTCCTTGTATTTTCTGACCATTTCTATTCATCATGAAATGTTCACACAATGTAAAGGGCAGCTAGCACTCTTGAATTATATAAAATAAATAAATAAATAAATAGATCAGACGTTTCTAAAAGACCTACAAGTTGTTGTCAGCTCTAATTGGTCCTCTGTAAGATCAGGCAACTCTGAAATGACACTCATTGTAGAATTAATTTGACAGGGCTACTTTTACAGCCTTAGAAACAGATACTGGTGTACTAGTTAATATCATAATATTTCAGTATTTTAAAAGTATCATTAGCTCTCATATGGTCCCAATCTACTGCTGTGACATCACCCATTGGAACCGAAAGATCACAGGCATATATCACCTAGATTTATACGCCCTTCTTACTTACAAGGCCGAACACACTGTTAAGATCTACAGGTCTTTGTAGGTCTTTGATCATTCCGGCCAGGTTTTTTGATTTATAGCAGCCTGAAGTCAGTGCAGCCCAACGGGCGCCTCATTCAGAGACGGTCTTCAGCTGCATGGTCTTGCTTAAAAGCCGAGACAACTAGATTTACTTCTGGCTCTTCGACAGCACAAATCAAGCCCAAGTGCCATGAATGGACATGAGCTCTGCTGAAATACAGAAAAAGTCCCTGGACCAAAGTAAGCACAGTTTATATTGAAATAAACAGTAATCTTTGGAGATTTGTTGCCTTCTATATTTTGGCAGGCAAATAAGAAAATGCTGTCAGTTCTAATTCTTTTTTAAAAATTACCCAGAAATTCTTCATGTGGTTTGGGTTTCTGGTTGGACTGTGTGAACAGCACACAGGGCTACAAATACAGCTTACAGGCTGAGAGCCACAACTAGTCAACTTTACAATGCAAAGCAGCTTCTACTGACAAGAAGCAGCTTCCAAATATGCAGGCAAAAGCATGGGTTAGAGATGAGGACAAACCAGAGGGTCTTGATTATTCAGCTGCAGATCATCTGTCGAATTTGTCTTCTTGATGTTGTCATGTGGTCATGGTAAATAAGGACAAGCAAAGTATATTTTTTGTATTTTTGACCCAAAAGCAGGGGCATCACTTTCACGTTCACAAATAAACAGAAATAAACAAACACATATATATATATATCGCTGCTGTTGGAACAAAACCTTATATATCCATTTTTTTTGTTTTTCAGTTTTGACACTTTTTAAAAATGCCTGTTGCCCTTTATACTATGTGTATATATGGGCCAAACGAAGCAGCCCAAAATTACTTGGAAAAAAGTCTGATTCCATTGACTCATTTCATAGTCTAATAACATAGCAATTTGTCCCTCAAATGATCTAAAATTTTAACAAAATGTGTTAAAACTAACCAAGTTTTGTTTTGTTTAATGTTTTTTTTTTTCAGGTTGAAGAATGGCGTTCACTAGAAATGAAGAGGCATTTTGTGTGTTAGAATATGCTCGAACACAGTTGTGCATCGTGCATTTTTGAGAAAATTCAATAAAAATGCACCAAAAAATTCAAAGAGGAAGGCTGTCTGTGCAGAGCAAAGGGATCTGGACGACCACCAGTATCGGAAATATATTACATTTGTGAAGCTTTGTGAAATGGGTTATAAAATCTACGTCCCTCTGAATTTCTTGTTCGAATTTTAATAAATAAATCTTGTCTTGTTCAACATGAAGCCTATTTAATTTCGTTTGCCCAGGACATGTAGTTACTCAGATATTCACATCTCAAATTATATACATTTTTTTGGGAAACCCTGTATATAATTACTTGATTTTTTAAAGTATTCAGACCTTAGAAAGGCATTAACTGAGATAGTAATACACTAAATAAATAGACGGTATCTTGGTGAGAAGAACACAGGTTGAACTCTGGTTCCTAACCTCCTAACTTCTTGCTGCCACTGTATGGATTTATATATACATGACTCAGATAAGGTGATGACGGCCGTTGGGCTGTTGGGACCATGCTGGCTGTGGGGCTGTGGTACTGTGGGATGCTAAAACACATCTAAAACAGTACATCCCACAAAAACGCATCCACTAAAGGGAACTCAGTAAACGGTGGTGTTTCCTGTAGGTTTACTGCCCCATTTCAGTCCCATAACTGTGAGCGGGAACCAAATGCAGCAGCAGCCGCAGCAGCAGCAGCAGTAACGCCTGAATTCAGCTCTGCCAGTGTTTTCGGTACAGTAACCACAGATCATGTGTGAGCTGCTTATAAAGCTTCCTTCCTGCTCGTGTGCTCTCATCATGAGACGGCGGGGTATTCAGGGCATCATGCTGGACTGCGCCCTGCTATTGTTCTCTTTTGTCTCCGTCTATGTGTTTATTTTGTGGGTTTCTATTTTGTGAGGTTCCTGTTTACGCCTGTGTGTGTGTGTGCATGTGTGATTATGGGGATTGTGTGTGTGTGTGTACCAGGTTTGCGTCACATTGTGGGGCTTTCTTCCTTGTGAGGACTATAAGCTGGTCCCCACAGCGTAAATCATTAGATTATAAGGTGAACACTTGTTTTAAGGTTAGGGTAAAGTTAGGGCGGGGCTAGTAGTGTTTATGGTGAAGGTTTGGGTAAGTTAATAATTTGACTCATATCATTTAAACCATGTGTGGCTATCAGTTATTAAGAATGAGTACTTTTGTGGAAAATGTACTAACAGATATGTGCATCTTGTAAAAGTGATTATGTGATTATGAAATCTTTGTTCATGTCATT